AGATAGATAGATAGATAGATAGATAGATAGATAGATAGATAGATAGATAAATAAATAAATAAATAAATAAATAAATAAATAAATATCACACCATTACTGCTCCTCAAACATGTTTCTCTGACATGGTCCAACAAAGGGTGAGGCCATCTCCCGGCTCTGGAATCAGAAAGCTTCTCTTCTTCTCATTCCCACTACATACATACTATTAGTCACCAATTCTACCATTCAACTTCCCAAGTAACCGTTGACTCTTTCCTCTTCGAGATCTTGTTACCTCTGGTCTGGAGAACTGCAGTAGTCTTTTAACTGGTCATCTTTTGTGAAATTTCTCCCCCACCCTATTCACTTCCCACCTCAGCAGCCCATCCTCTGTACTGTTACCAGATTGGGTTTCTGAATATAAATCTATTGTCAGCATTTTTTTCCTTAAATAAGAAAGCATTTTTCCAATTCCCAGTGCTTAGTGGGTGTCTGTCGGACTTCTGTGACCTTCTCCGATCCTTCATGAGCTGCCCTAACCATCCTAGCTCAAGTCCAGCCGCACCGGCCTTACAACTTGTAGAATGGCTACACTAAACTCTGCCATTTCCCCAATATGTTGTGCTTTTTCAATAGTCCATGGCTTTGCACACACTGTTCATTCTACCTGAAAGACACCATCCTCTGTTAACTGTTATGTATCCTTTAAAACTGAGCTCAAGTATTCCCCGTAAAGACTATCGTAATAGCTCACAAGTACTTAACGAATCACAAATAACGTGCTAAGCTTGCGTTTCCCTGGATAGAGTGAATAATACTTTTCTCCGTGCTCCATGCTGGCCATGCCTCTGCCATAGAACTAGTCACATGTTAGACTCACCTCTACATTTGAAAACCCATGCTGCATTTGTCATTATGTTCTAGTGCCTTGTTCTGAGCAAAGGGTTAACAAAACCCTTTCAAAGCTCTCTAAGGCCAATCTGACCTTGGGTTAACTCTAGAGCTCTACTACCCTGATGGCATGTTCTGTTTTCTGGCCTGTAGCCTTCGGATTGTCATGTATAGTCAATGGTGGTCTTGTGAGTCTGAATACCTGGTTAAGAAACCCCCTTGGTGGGCAAAGAACAAGCCTAGTGAATGAGATTTGTATACACTCAATGAGTGCTCCCTCCATTAGTTCTTTAAAGGGGTCCAGCTCTTGTCTTAGAAAAATTCGGTATAAAGAGAGGGCTAATTATCATTCCCAAACACTGGTTCCTGTCTGTCTGTCTCTCCCCCCACCCCCCTTCCCTCCATCCTTCCTTCACCCTCCTAATTCTTATCTTTCTTTTGACAGAAAGATAATCCTTATATAACTGTAGAATGGTGCTTTTAACCCATGAAAATTTATTCGGGATAGACCATTTGGTTCTTTTCTTTACCTAATAACATGTAAGCAAAGATAAAGCCGACTTACTTTAACCAAAGCTCTCTTGATGACATTGCCAATATCTTGCCTCCACTCAGGAATGTCAGGGTTGTGGTAATCCAGGTTTGGAGAGAATGACAAGAGTTGGGACTGGAAATATTCTGCAAGGATAGAGGGTGTGTGAGTGGGACTGAGAGAGGGGTGGCGGACTGGCAGATGCTTTAGGGAAAGGGTCCACTCTTCCATGTGGCCTCAGCTAAAATCCCTTCCTATTGGCGTGTTTCTTGGCTTCTGAAAGAAGGTGGGATTTGGTGACTGGGAGGGGGGCTTTATGCTCCTACCATGGGTAGGAGTTCCTAGCATCTTAAGCCCTTCTTCTGGCAAAAGAATATTCCTTGAAATGAAAGACAAGTATGAAACCCCAGAAGAAGGAGGTATTTGCTACTGGTGATGGTATCATGTGGAGCCAATGATAAAGCATTGACAAGCTGGGCTTGGTTGGAAGGGGGCCTTGCCACTTGTCCTCCCCTGGGTTCCTCTGACCTTCCTCCTAGAAACTATCTCAGGGGATTAGATCGAAATCCTGTGTGTAGGGTGTGGGTAATGTTCAGTTTCTTGACCCAGTTGGTGGGTACACACGTCTGTTTACTTTGTGGTAAGTCATGAAACTAAACACTTGTGATGTGTGCACTCTTCTGTATTAAATTTACATTTAATTGAAAAAAGTCCTCCAGGTACCTGATGAGAGAGCCAGAGTATCAAATTTGCAGAGATGTAGGAAAAGGCGCTACCTGAAGTGAGGTTGAAGAAATATGTTCTGAGTCAGAGGATCACATACCTTAGTACAACTTTTTAGAAAGCCCCAGGTATAGTGGCAGTCTTTAGAGGCCCGGGGGAGGTTGTGTGGAATGGTGCTCGGAGCAAAACTTGATTTAAAATAAATTTAATAATTAGGAATGGCTTTCTGGATTGAGAACAGGATAGTGGCCTTATTATCCACTCTTCTTTCTAGTTCTGCCCTCATATTCTTAGCCTTACTCTTGAAGCTTTGCAGCCAAGGATGTTAGAATTTTCCAACAATTGGAATATGTACTTCATCTCAGTAACTCAGCCTTTAGTTCTGCAAGGTCAGGGAACCATGACTCCTCTTTTGAAATCACTGGTCCCCGTGGTCACAAAGGGTCGGTGCTGCATACATATTGTAGATACCTCAGCAGGACATCGGATCTAGATGCTTTATGATAGTCTTTCCAGTTTAGCATCCTTCAACTTATGATATGTGTTTGTCTAATGAGAACCTGATCAGGATGTGATACAGATACATCTTAGGGAATAAGAGATGCTTGTCTATGCCCATGTGTGCCAGTTTCTCTTACAGCCTCAGTGTCTATTCAGGAGCAAGGTAGAAAGTATGTTTGGAAAATTCTGGTTGACCTACATAATTTTCCCTAGCCTGGGGAATTGCCAAAGCAGTCAGGCGTTGCCATGAGGGTAGGCAGAGGGGATTGGTTGGGCAGGAGGGAGCATCACAGAACAACTTTCAGGGCTTACCATGCACAGCAATGTCTTTTGTGTCCTGAATAAGGGCATTCCCTGCAGCCACCTGGACAGTGATGGTGTTAGTGCCTTCGGCCAGGAACGTGAAGGAAATGCTGCTGTCCAAGGTGATGAAGGGCTAAAAAACAGAAGGAGAAATGCTCATTTAGTCCTCTGTGGGATATCAGATTTTCTTCCTTTCTTACAAATCTCAGACTGTCACAAATCTGCGTGGTATTTGTGTGTCCCCAAGGGATCCTAACTTGAAACAAGAAAAAAGAAAAGGGCTTTTCATAGCTTCAAAAAACTGTGATTATATCCAGTATCCAGGAAGAGTATTAATATCCTTGAAATACGCTGTAAAATGTAATCCCGAAAGATGAAGATAAGACTGGACACTCTGGATTTTGCAAGTCACTCTGTTCCTTCTCCTGGGGCAAAGTAGAAGCAACATTTGTAACCTATTCCAGCTGGCTCTGGGAATAGATCATTTATTTTTCTTCTCCTCCAATATTCTGTGTCACTTTATTTCCTCCTGTATTCCACTGGACTACAAGACCTTTCAGAGAGGTGGTCACATTTTATTTACTTCTGTCTCATCCATCCTGGCACATTACTTTCCTACAGTAGAATATATATGTTAGTTGGATGCATGGTCCAATCACTGGCATTTTGCTTTATTATATCTGTGTTTTCCATTGCAAAGCATTTCTAACATTTTAAATAGGTTGGAAAATATTAAACATATATATGTGACCATTTTAATCCTTTTTTTCTTTTTCTGCTTTATTTTCCTGATCACAACATATACAGGTTTCCCAAGGATAGAGAGAAACAGAATATATTACTTTCCTGAGGATTAGGACCTTGATAAAAGCAGGTCTTTCTGGGATAGAAGAATGCAGATCCTGAGGTTGAAGAGTCATTATTCAGGGGTCATCTTAAGGCCTGTGCCCTTCCAAGTTCCTGTTGTTTGCAAGGTATGACACAACAGTAGGAAGCTGCTCTAAGGCAGCTCTTAAAGAGATGTTACAAGCACAGATGAGCAGACTCCCTCTCCTCTTTGTGTGTCAGGACAGCCATGGGATGGAGACCAAGAAGGTAGCCATTTGAGGAGGCACAGAGCAGCTCTTGAAGGGGGTGGGTATGGGCCAGCACTCAGGCACTCCTAACTGAACATGGCCTAGATGTGTGTGCCAGAGCCCTGCAAAGGCTCAAAGGTGTGGCTTTCAGACAGCGTCCCTGCTACAAGACTAGAATTGCTTTCTAGCTCAGAATTTCCAACTGGGCCTCTGAAACCTAATTTGATTTCTTCTGCTTTAAAATGCCGGAGTTAGGCTACCGTTGCACCACAAGTATTATGCCAAGTGAAATAAGTCAGTCAGAGAAAAACAAATACCATGTGATTTCATTCATATGTGGAATTTAAGAAACAAAGCAAATGAGCAAAGAGAGGAAAAAGAGAGAGAGAGAGGCAAACCAAGACACAGACTCTTAACTGCAGAGAACCAAATGATGGTGACCAGAAGGGAATTGGGGGGGGGGTGGGAGGGTTGGGTGAAATAGGTGATGGGGATGAAGGAGGGCACTTGCGGTGATGAGCACTGGGTGATGTATGGAAGTGTTGAATCACTGTATTGTACACCTGACACTAATATTACACAGTATGTTAACTAACTGGAATTTATTTATTTATTTAGATTTACTTATTTACTTATTTGAGAGAGAGAGAACATGAGTGGAGGGGAGGGGCAGAGGGAGAGGAAGAAGCAGGGTCCCCGCTGAGCAGGAAGCCAGATGTGGGCCTCGATCCCAGGACCCCGAGATCATGACCTGAGCTGAAGGCAGACACTTAACCCACTGAGCCACCCAGGTGTCCCTAACTAACTGGAATTTAAATAAAAACTTTAAAAAATAAAATAAAATAAAATAAAATAGAATTCTGTAGCTCCCTTATTTTATGACCAGGCTGATAGCTGGAGTTGGGCAAGATGAGAGATATTGCCCTAAGCATGTGACATACTTTCTTCTCTGTTTGCTACATGAAAGAAAGCAGTGAGTATAGAAAGGAGGACACTTGTGTTGGGCACTGGGTGTTACATGTAAGGGATGAATCAGTAAGTTCTACTCCTGAAACCAATATTACACTATATATTAACTAACTAGAATTTAAATAAAAATTTGAAAAAAAAAAGAAAGAGAAAACAGTCTTCCCTTTAACTAAGGGCAGACCCCAGAGTTCAAGTATTCTTAAGGCTCAGTGAGAGTACACACAAGGATGTGGCCTTCTGAATTAAACAACGAATGAGTTGCAAATAGGTTCTGTGATGTACATCAACTCCCATGGGCTGATAGTGGCTGTTCAGTGTCCTGTGTTGAGAAGGAAGCTGAAGTCAAGCTGGGTTCAGCATACCAATGTTGGCCATAGCAATGGAATAACGTGTGCCACAGAGTTGCCATTTCTAGTGTAATAAGAACAAAGACTAGCAACGCTGGCTTTATTCAGTTGTTATTATAATAAATTACCTTGGGCAAAGTAGACCCGATTTTTAGCCTTAGTTTTTTATCTGTTCCATGAAGGGTTTGTGTTGAAAGAGCTGTGAGCACTTACTCAGCAATCAGAATATACAGGATTGATGAATGGCTTACGGCAAACTTTCTAGTCCCTACTGGTCAACCCATTCAATTTTATCTATTAGGAGACCTTCAGTTGCTTCATTACCTAGTCATATTCTTTGGAATAAAAATGAGATACCACTTATACCCAAAAGAATAGCTAAATTTTCTTTAAAAATGGTAATATAGAAGATGATTAAGGATGCAGAGCAACTGGAACTCTCATACATTTTTTGGTGGGATATAAAATGATACCACCACTTAGGAAAAAGTTTAGTTTTACAAGAAATTGCAATAATTTTTCCAAAGTAGATGTACCATTTTATATTTTATGACTTAGCAATTGCAGTCTTGAGAATTTAGTCAAGAGAAAACATATGTCCACAAACCAACAAAAATGTTCATGGAAACTTATTTGTAACAGCCCCAAAATGAAAACAGCCCAGGAATTCATCAACAGGAAAATGAATAAACAAGCCATAGTATATCCATACAATGAGCACAAAAGAAAAAAAAAAGGTTACATAGTATGGATAAATCCCAAAACTATAAGAAGCAAAAGAAGCCTTACATAAAATAATTCATATGGTATAATCATATATATGAAGTTCTAGAACAGGCAAATCTAATCTATGATAAAAGAAAAGGAGTGGTTGATTTTGGGGATTGGGGGTAAGTATTGATTGAGAAAGGGAATGAGAGGACTTTCTGGAGTGACGGTACTATATATTTTTGTGTATATATATGTATATATACATATACACATATATATACGTGTATATACATATACGTGTATATATATATGTATATATATACATACACACACATAGAAAGAGAGAGAGTTTAGGTTACATGTGAATGCCTTTGTCAAAACTCAGAAAGTGCACACTTCGGATTTGTGCATTTCATCATTGATACCACCACGGGGAAAAAAGTGTAGGCAAATACTGAATCCTAGTTAATAATTTGCAAGCTGAAGCATTTAGCACAAAGTATATTGGTGTCTAAAATTTGAAATGGGTGAAAAAATTAAGATTAACTGATGGATGGACAGAAGAACAGACAGATAACCAGACGTGATAAAACAAAAATAGTAAGTGTTAATGGTAGACTACAGATGGTGGGTATACAGATATTCACTGTAGAATTATTTCAATTTTAGTGTATGTTTGAAGTTTTCCATAATAAAATGTTGGGACAGAAAACATGAAAGAAATAATCAATGTGATTTTATTTTTCCTGATTCCACGAGTGACTTTCTCTGACCATGGCTACATTCCATTGTCCTCCATTTTAGTTCCCTGCCCTCAGCTGTCATCTTCCCACCTCTCACCAGCAGGCAGTTTTCTCCCTTGACAGTTGTCTCTTCATGAAACCTTCACTACTTCCATGTCATCTTCGTCAGCTCTTAGTGGTCCATGTGCCCCCGCCTTTCTTTGCACACTCTTGTAGCCTTAGACTTGGGGAGTTGGTACTTTGCCAGACAAAGGAACCACTTTTTTTTTTAAGATTTATTTATTTATTTGAGAAAGAGAGAGAGAACAGGGTAGGGAGGGGCCGAGGGAGAGGGAGAGAGAATCTCAAGCAGACTCCCCACTGAGCATGGAGCCCAATGTGAGGCTCCATCTCACAACCCTGAGATCCTGACCTGGGCTGAAATCAAGAGTCGGACACTTAACCAACTGAGCCACCCAGGCGTCCCTAAAGGCATCTCTTTTGAGAGGAGTGGAATTCTTGTCCCTGCAGATTTGCTCTTCCCTCCATCTGGCTGCTTCCCTAGGAGATCCAGGAGCCAAACAAGGGTGCAGGGCTGCAGGACAAAGGGGATGCCATCTGTGATGGGAGGGAGCATGCCATCCTATCAGCCAGTCAGGGCTCTGAGTCACAGCAAATAGTGCTGAATGGGAACACTTGGTCCCCAGGTGGCAGACCACAGGCTTCCATGCTAGGGAAGAGACAGGAGCTAATTTTGTTTTCGAAATTGCCTTTGTTGTTCATCAACTGATATGGCATCATGGCTGATTTTACCTTCCTTGCAAAGCTGGAACACTCAACAGTATTCCTGAATTCTTTGTTGGCCACCAATACCTAGTGCGTAATGCTAAATTAAATCAAGTATTTTAAGGTTCATTTACTAAATCTATTAGGCAAGCAGACACATTTATTAAGCCAGACCTCTGTTAATCCAAGCAAATTGGCCTTTCAGAGCTCTACAAATCCAACAGGCAGCTGATTGACTTCTCTGTCTCTGTACTTTGTCCAAGCTGCAGGGCCAGCCCACGGTGAGACTCCTTGGAATAATACCTTATTCCCTGCCTAGGTTGTGGGTTACATTCCTGCCCACAGAGAATCCCTTATGTGCAACAGGTCACATACTATCCACTGAGCCCAGAAAGATACTGACAAAGCTCAGGGTGACTATTTAGTTATGAGATTTCCACTTGACTAATGGAACAAGAAGCTTCAGGGAAATCTTTGAATGCAGACTACACCAGTTCCCAGACGCTGTAAGTCAAGTTAATATTGAACATTATAAAACCTCCACAATCTAAATGTATACCTTGCTAAAAGCTGCCATTCCCAAATTGGACAGACTATGCTATCACTATGCTTGCCTTACTTAAAGCCTTCAGCAGATTATACAGTTACATGTAAAAAAAGTGGAAAAGGCAAGATACATAATGGTGGATATACTATGATTAGAACTATGTAAAACAACCTGAAATATATATACAAAGACCAGAATGAAATAAAGCAAAAGGGTATCTACAGATGGGTTATGGCTTTGGGATTAATGTGAAAATTCATAGTTAGGGGAAAAAAATCCCCTCAAACCTTCACACACACACACACACACACACACACACACACTCAGACATATATCCAAAGCTCATCAAAAGTTTAAAGCATCACTGTCCATGAATCTGGTTCTATCTTCTGTCATCCTATAAATACGAACTTCAAACAAAAATCATCATTTATGCCACTCAAAGCCACCTGTTATGTATCCCCCCTACCTTTCAGTTTTTTCTCTAAATTTCTGCCCAAATGAATCCTCTGTTTTGTCTGAATCTGTCTATACAGAACACAGCCATGCCTTACCTTTCCATACAAATCTCTTTTCCTTCCTCTGCCTCAATTCTACCGTTTTTTCAATGCCAGGGTAAGACCAACTTCATCCATGAGTCACTCCATGATCAGCAAGGTGTGCATCCATCACCATCAAGGCTGCTTGACTGGGCCAGTACCATTACATTCCTACCACCATACCTTAGAGTACCTATAACTTCATATTCTCAAATAGATTATTTCTTAAAGGAAACAGATGGAATTTGCACTGATTTGTATTCCTCACAACATCTAGCACAAAATATGGGCTCTTGAAAAAGAGCTACAGAGCTACTGATGCAATTTCACATCTCCCCTGATAGGTCTGTAGGCCTCTGAGACTATTATTGGATTAGGAATGCTTGCTCTCTTCTATTTACTTATACATCACAGTTGTTCACCATCACTGCATTTGTGTCCATCATGCCTTCTCACTTGGACTATAATCTTCTTGAAGGTAGGGACAATGTTGTACATGCTCCTCTATTCCAGAGAGCACCAAGTGAAGGTCTAGATATAAAGGCAGGGGTGAGTTAATTCTTCTTGAGAACTTGATTTAATTCAACCATCTGGGTGAACCTGCCCAATTCTCTTAGTCACAACACACACACACACACACACACACACACACACACACACACACACATTACTTTCCAAGGTTATTAGCCTATGTGTTTTCTCTGAAAAATGGGATAATTTCTCCATCAGTGATGTCCTAATGATTAAATTAAATAATGTGTACAAAGAGCCTCCTACAAAGCAGAACTAGGAATAAATGCTCAAAATTAGCTCCTTTTACAGATCAGTTTGCTACTCAAAGGGAACTAAAATACCTCCAAAATCAGAGTGCTCACCAGAACACTCAAAGACACTCATTATTTTGCTAGTCAGATATGGTGCTCATTGGATCAATTATTGGGCAATGAGGTCATCTTGATGTGTTTCTGGTATGGTGCTGCCAAAAAGCACTGAAAATACACCTCGTTCAACTGGATCAAATAACCATTCTTAGAGGTGGGAGAGAAACCTACAGAACCAAGTCAGATATACCATCGAGATGTAGATGCCATTGATGTAAAGGCTGAGCATGATAGTGACTAATATTTTCAAGTGCTTAGATTCTAAACACATCTAAGTTACTAATATTTACTATTACTAATTACTACTTGTTTACTCTGAGGTACTAATAGTTATTGATGTTATTATTCTGACATTATAATGACCAAAACTGAGGTTCAGAGAAATTGCATGATTTGATTAAAGGCATATTGCAAAAAAGAATCTGAGTCTGGACTGCAGCCCAGATTTATCTTACTTCAACACTACTCTGTGCTGGGTACCCATGCAGCACTTCATGCTCAAGCTTATAGATGGGAATTCCTAACTGAAGGAACAGGTCAGGTCAACATCAAACCAAACCAAAACAAAACAAAAACAAACTATAATGCCATTCTGTCATTTAAAATTTCCTCACTTAATATGACATATTATAGATTAGCTAGAGAGATATTCCAAATAATAATTCAGTGATGTTCGTGGATTAGATATTAGTATCCTTGCTCTACCCAAAGAAAAAACACTGAGATTTAGATCAGGTGATTTGTTCAAGTGAACACAGATAATCATTAGAGAAATAGAAACTTGACTCTGCAGTCACTTTATCTACTTCTGTGTTTATTTATCAAAATTTATTGGGTACTAATCTAGTAAGGGTCTTAAAATTCAGGTCTTAGAATACTAAAGAAAAACAAAACAAAACACGGAAAGGGGAAAAATGGCACTGTAGAGAAATTCTGTGTCTCTGGCTCCTCGTGGGTTCTGAGTAAATCACTGTGTTGACGATGGACAATAACTGCCCTCCTTGTGCACAGCAGCCTCAGTAAAGATCACCAGGTAAATGAATACTTAACAGAAAAAAATTCCCTGGCTGGACAGCCAAAAGTTCTCAGCAGAGAAATGAACTTAAAATCCTGTTTCTAATTTTTTCCTCCCAAATGATTTTCTCTTTTTTCATTCACCATGTATGCATGCAGGGTTTTAGGGTCTGTAACCTCTAGAAGACAAACACAGTGATGCAGCTAAAGCATCCTGGGGCTGGAGGTGGAGCAGGGTAGCTGGGAGTTAGGAGACCGGGCTCTACAATTAACCAGATGTTTGACCTTGGGATGCTCATCTCACACAAGGAGCTTTACTTCTCTAATGTACCAAATGGGGATCTTAATAACCAACACCTGTATCTCTTGCCCGGGTGAATAAGAAATTCAGAAATGCAAAAGCATTGTCGCTTATACTAAGAAACTGACTTGAAAGTATACAGCATCAACAATTCAAACAGAAAAGGGTCCCTTGGGTCCATAAGTGTAGTTCTTTTGTCAACCCATCCTAACTCCCAATTTTTATATCAAAATTAAAAGCATCTATTTAGTGAGTACCTAGTGTGTGCCAGAGAGATATATAGCATCTCACTTAGATTTCACAACAGTCAAGATGATACAGGTATTATTCTGTCCAGTTTGTGTTGAATGAATTAAATTTTGGGTCAAATGACTTCCTCAGGCTCACACAGCCAGCAGTGTCACTGTGACTCCAAGGTCCATGTTTTCACCACCATATCATGCTGCCTCCCTAAGAAAGAGCAGGGGTGAATCTTCTCCCACTCTCATCATGCAGGGGCTGAAGTTCTTTTTGGTCATCTCTAAACAAACAAAGCCATCATTGTTCATTCTTTTTTTTAAAGGAATTACTACATCAGAACTGAGAATTTATTTCCCCTTTCTTGAGATGTCCAGCATTTCTAAGTCTGATATGATATCTTTATTAAATTATTATTTTTTTTAATGAAGGATCTCAGGGTGCCTGGGTGGCTCAGTCGGTTAATCATCTGACTCTTGATTTCAGCTCAGGTCATGATCTCAGGGTCATGGGATCAAGGCCCATTTCAGGCTCTACATTCAGCACCAAGTCTGCTTGTCCCTCTCCCTCTGCTCCTCCTCTGCACACGCTCTCTCTCATAAATAAATAAATAAATAAATAAATAAATAAATAAATAAATAATAAAATCTTTTTAAAAAATGAAAGGTATCTCTAAGATGAGCAATGCCAATCACATCAAGAATGGCCAAGGGAAATGTAAAGATAAAATCAGGAATAGAGAAAAACATTAAGCCCTTACATTTAGGAACCCTCAGCCTAACTGCTCCCAGCTCCTCTTATATAAGTGTGGTCATTGTTGACACAACTGTCACCATCACCAGTAGCTGGGAGCAGGGGGGATGTGCCAAGTTCAGAGTCTGGCCCTCTGAATTCCCTTCTTAGAGACTTGTTGGCATCGCCACCATTCCTAAAATGAACCTTGGCCTTCGTAAATCACCTAGTAGGTCTTGGAGAAGGGTTCTTTACATGCATTGCCCCATTTGATTTTCACAGCCCTGCATTTAGAGAGAGGATTCACATTTCCAGATGGAGTCACTGGATCTCAGAGATGCTAAGTGACTCCTTTAACATTATCTATGTTGTGAGTGGAAGGCCCAGTATTAAAAAAAATATAGGGCAAATGAAGTTTTAAAAATATTGATTATGGAAGCAAGTTTGTAGAGCTTCTCAAGGTACTCTTTCTTCCTTAGGATTGTTTGAACTTTCCCTATTATAATAATGAACCTGGTATAGAGACATATGTGATATTCAATTACGTGGATTCATAGTACTAAGTACTCCCTATTGCTCTCATCTCCGGTGCCCCCAACATCAACATGGCAGCTGGAGCATAGGAGAATTCAGTACAGATCTACTCAAACATGCATCAGAAAGGGCCAAACCTTCGTGCTATTGCCAAACCACCAGAAATAGGTAAGGGTCCCCAGCTGACTGGGCCACACAACTGCACTGATGTTGACCTCCTTATTTCTTATGGCGACAAATGGCACTTGGAGATGAACATGCTCCACGGGACCTGGGGGAACACGGGAAACAGTGTCAGTTTTTCTGTTCCTGGAATAAACAAACTTTATCATACTCCCAGATTCTTAATCTTAACCCCATTATCATAAACTATAATAAAACAAGGATCACAAACTCACAAATGTTGAGGGGTGTGTGTGTGTGTGTGTGTGTGTGTGTGTGCTTGAAACAAAGCACCTTGTATAAGAGGGAACTCAAATCAGGCTTCAGAATTTTTGAGTGACATCTGAAATTCATTTACATCTGATGTGCCCAACCATGAATGCTTATGAACCTCCAATCCAAGGACAAACTAGTTGACTAGACACTTAGCCAATAAATAGGAAGAGAAACAGCAGTCTCTTTCATTTCTGACAATTAGCCTGTATTGTGATGTGGGGTCAGTGCATCACATGGAGGGCTCTTCCATTATCCTTGATGGTTAATTGGTTCCATCCTCTTCAATAATCCGCCATTGTGCTGGTCATCTGCAATACTCAGTGGGTGTCATTCAGAAGCTGGCAAGGCTGTTTTACAAAAGGAAAACGTGTCTTTCCCTAAATCAAAGGAGAAACAAAGGCCACATTCCCAAAGAATAAAAAAACAACTGCTTGCAGAAAGGTGACCAAATTTCTCTTCTTTCCCCTCAGAAAACTGATACAGCAGCAAGAGAACACACATGAGCAAACCCTACCCATAATAAATGAGGATTGTAATTTAATTCATTTCCAAAACAAAATGAGAAGAGGAAAGAAAATGCTGATGAGAAATATTAACGTGTCAGTGTCGCACTCTGGGATGGGGATGTTATTTTTCAACTCTGGGGGGTTTTCTCCTTCTCCCCACTCCTTCCTCCCCTCCTTTCCTTTTTCTCTCTTTCCCTTCTTCCCTTCTTCCTCCTTTCCCTTCCTTATATCTCTCCTACTTAACCAAATCCAATTAAAGTATTCTAATTAACTGTTTACACTCTGCTAGTGCATAGTTTCCCAGTTTCCACTATGCTAGAGCTGATGTGCAAACGTGGCTAATGGTCAAGACTGCAGTCCGAATGTCTCCTTAGCCTGGGGGCCCTGAGTTCTTCTCACAGGTGGGGCATTTTCCTGATCACTCAGTCTTCACTATTTACATCATGGGTCACTCTGGGGACAGCTCAGCTTAAAGGGAAGACAACAGATGGCTTCTTCTCATTTCTGGTCTGGTTTAAATGTAGCTGTGTGATCTTTCCCTCCATCTTCCAGAGCCTTGACCCTACACAGACTATTTCCACGTCCCCTGCCTTCCTTATAGGAATAAGAACATATGAATAGGATGTGTGGATGTTAAAAGTACTATCGCATTAGTTATGGGTTGGCACAATTTCTACCACCATCATCACCACCATCACTGTCTCCATGTATCATTGGGTAGATGTCCCTCGAAAACAGTGGGAGTTTGTCTGAGTCTCACGGCGTTGTAGGTAGATTTATGCTGGGGGAGAAGGTGTTGGGACAAAGACTGATGTTTAAGTGAGGGGAGCAGCCTGGTCAGCTTGTCCCCGTCCACACCGTACTTTCCAGAACAAGCAACAAGTGTTCGAGAATCTGTGTATCTACCGCCTGAGAATACTCTCTGCCTACAGCTTGACCTGACCACAGACAGATGACCCTCAAGGTTTCTCCCAGCAAATAATTTCTTCTGGCAAATCATTTCAACCTTGCTGCTTCAGAAACACATTTGCCTGAAGGGTTAATTATTTTCAATAAGAAAGTCTGCTCGATTATTTTTGTACGGTTTGACTGTTGGTGAAAATAAAAAAAGAAAAACACAAGGTATGAGAAAACATTGGCTCTTTTTGTGACTTTATTTACTCATTTGTAGGACTTTATCTGATTTATCTTTCTTTGCTGGTGGTGTTTTACTGATCCGTGGGGAAGAGAATGAGGCCGTAGGAGGAGTGCCCAGCCAGCTGCGTCCTGGCAGGGAGGCGAGAACTCTGTGTCTTATGATAACACCTCAGTCTTTCTCGGTGCCCAGATGCAGAGCTCATTCCTCCCCTGCTGGGCAAAGGGCCCTTTACCCTTAAAGTCAATGCTCCTGTTATTTCTCTCCCTCAAAATGCATGAAGCTCATTCCTCTGCCAGCTCTTCAGAACCCCAGGCCTTTCCACAGTTAAGTGACAATACTGCTAACGGCTTCTGGCCCTGGAAATTCTTCTCAGCTTTCTGTCACTCAGGGGCCTTGGCCCAGCCACACACTGTCAGGTACCTATGCCTAAAAAAATAAAAGGAGATCTCCTTCTCCCTAAACTCATGCCAAACGAAGGGATATGGCTTCCATGAATTGGCACACCATTAAACATAATCACATTTATTCCAGCTTTAAGACAAGCATGTTTGGCTAAATAGAATCTCAAGGAACAACAACATGTAACAGCTTTTTAGGGCAAAGAATCTGAGCCAGAAGCTCCAGGCTTCAGCCTAGGGATGGACACACCATAAATCAGGGAGAAGAGAGCTGAAGGGAACACAGCAAACTCCTAAAATCCTGTCAAATAGTGCTCTCTTTGATAAAAATCTAATAATCTATGTGAGATTGGTTATTATGGGTGGCTAACAGCTACTTTTGTTAGCTAATGGCCCAAGGTGAGGCCAAGAGCAGTTTCCGCTATAATAACTGTCTGGTAAATGCAGCCATGATTGATGTGGAGGGAATTATGAGTGTGATAAAAGTTTCAAGGAACATTTCCTCCTTCATGCACATAACCCACAGTATAAATCGGTTCCTTGCTGTTGTATTTTTTGCCACTAAGATACACTGGTCTTTGCACCCTTCAGGCAGGTCCACTATTGGTGGAATTAGGAATATGGGTGGGGCAGGGGGGTTGGGATAGAGGAAAGTAAAATTTCTCTCTTTGTCTTCATTTTTAAATGCAACGGAAGTGCCAGGCAGAAAGTTAGTGGGTAGTATTTAGTAATTACTAGAACAGGTCACATTCATCATGTGCCAAGCTGGGTGGTAAGTGGCATTGTATACTGTGCAGGGAAATGTTAACATAGACTTGAAATTGCCATCCTTAGAAAGACTTCTGTGCAAGATTGGTCCTTGCTAGCATCTGAAAACTTGGCTTTGAGAGTGTTTCCAGTCAACACGTAAGTGATAAGAGTGGTTCAATATGCCTAGACTGTTTATGCCAATAATACAGTTTAATCTAAATATGTATTTCCCTTAGGATGTCTGGAATTCTGGCATATGCTAGGCAGAGGATGCCTACTTGACCAGTCCCCAGTAAAACCATGGGTACCTTATGACCCAGCAATTGCACTACTGGGTATTTACCCCAAAGATACAGATGTAGTGAAAAGAAGGGGCACATGCACCCCCAATGTTCATAGCAGCAATGTCCACAATAGCCAAACTGTGGAAGGAGCCCAGATGTCCTTCAACGGATGAATGGATAAAGAAGATGTGGTCCATATATGCAATGGAATATTACTCAGCCATCAGAAAGGATGAATACCTACCATTTACATCAATATGGATGGAATTGGAGGGTAGTATGCTAAGTGAAATAAGTCAATCAGAGAAACACAATTATCATGTGGTTTCACTCATATGTGGAATATATAGAATAGTGCAGAGGACCATAGGGGAGGGGAGGGAAAACTGAACGGGAAGAAATCAAAGAGGGAGACAAACCACACGCGACTCTTGACTCTGGGAAACAAACTGAGGGTTCTGGAAAGGGAGATGGGTGGGGGAATGGGGTAACTGGGTGATGGGCATTAAATAGGGCACGTGATATGATGAGCACTGGGTGTTGTAATCAACTGATGAATCATTGGACATTACATCAAAAACTAATGATGTAGTATAACTTGGCTAATTGAATTTAAATAAAACAATAATTAAAAAACAAAACAAAACATGGGTACTGAGTCTCTAAGGAGTTTCTCTGGTAAATAGTCCTTCTCACGTGTTGCTAAAACTCTTGCTGGAGGAATTACACGTGTCTTGTGTGACACCATCGGGGGAGGACTCTTTGGAGGTCACAACTGGTTTCCTCCAGACTTTGCCCCATGGCTCTTTTCCCTTTGCTGATCTTGCTATTTCCCCTGTAATAAATCATAGTCTGAGTATGATTATATGTTGAGTTCTATGAGTCCTTTGAGTGAATCAACAAACACGACGGAGTGATCTTGGGGACACCTGAACCATACATATAACCCAGTCTGATTCTCATAGCTTCTCTATAACATAAGTATTCAAGATGAGGAATCAGAAGTTTTTAAAGAGTATGAAAGTTGACCAATATTATATTGTTTATATGTTTAACAAAGGGATATGATCAGATTTCAAACAGAGGTCCCTTTGATCTAAACCCTGGCTTATGAATACCTTGCATACCACTTGCCTGGGTTTTTGACCTGGTGCTTCTGGCACAGAATGAGTAGAATTGGTGGAGTGTGGCCCATTTCTAGCAGCCCCTGCCCTCCCCCACCAGAAGGTAAACTCTGCCAGGCCAAGGCAATATCTATATTGTTGTTTCCCCAGATCCTTGCAGAATGCCTTACATATATATATTAAGAACTCAACAGATATTTGTTGAATAAATTAGTAAATAATTGGATGTTTTCTTTATATTTCCTATTTGTTGTTATAAGAGCCCCATGAGGCAAAGTACCAGTTAGAATTAAGCCATTTTAAAGTTGGAGTTCAGAAGACCCACAGAAGAAATAACTTATCTCATGGCCATGTAGCCTGGCATCTTTAGGGACAGAACTGATCTATAATCCAGGTGTCCTCCCATGCACATCCCCCTATCACTGTTGGTCCTTAACGCTACTATTAGTATCAAAATGCTGGAGACTAGGCGGCTTATGGTTTTCCAGAAACCTTTTAAACGTGGGTTGTTTATATAGTGGAATTTGTCATCACTCAGTTGGAGGTACTCCTTGTATTCACTTAGACTCTTTTAAATATACATTTCACCATAAGTAGCATATTACTCCCAAAACATCGTGGGGTATATAAATTAGAACTACAGAATCCCTTAGGCCCATGAATATCACTGATAAAGGCATACGAAATCCATACCAGACCCATAACCACACGTTTTGACCCAACATTCTAAAATCATAGTATTTAAGTTTTAGTTTACATGAATTAAGTCCCAGGATAGCGGATACACAAAACGTATCCCGGACAAAGTACTTTGGAAGTTCAGCTGTTGTTTGCTTTGTGCCAAGCAACAGTCAATAGCAATGAAATACATTCTAGGACAACAACAATAACAAAAAAAATTGGAGAGTCTTTATAATTGTTCATAACAGGAATGAACTTGCAGTAACCTTGTATGTAAGAATTAAGTTATTTTGTGTGTTCAGGACTACAGTTTTAAAAATCCAAATGTGTCTCTTTAATCCTTCTTTGGCTCTTCCAACAGAGATTAGAAACTTACTTTGATTTGGGCTGCCTTCACTTATCACAGCAGCTTGAAAGTGAACCTGTGGCCGTGAACCAGATGAGTTTCTTCTTCCTAGATCCTTACGAGTCTCCAAAACAAAGGGAAGGGACTTTGACCTGAATGTGTGTCTGCATGTGTACACTTCCATCAGAACACAGTGGAACTGAAAAGAAGGGGCCAGTTGGGAATGTTACCCCAACTTGCAAAATAATCGACTTCAGTATCAGAAAACTGAAACACGGAGGAGCACACATCTCAGTCTTTCAATTTGGGTCATTATTTGGGGTAGTAGTCACACCAAATCTAGTCTCAGCTCTGCATCCCAAAAGTCTGCGGACAGCGGGAGTTGCCAACTGGAAGGCACAGAAGAAAGGAGACAGTTCAGGCTACTTACAAACCACATGCAGGAAGAGGACAGCTGTGTCCGAGCCCAGGTTGTTCTCCGCATAGGCCGTCACCTGGAAGATCCCCGCACTCTTGTACACGTGCTTGATGCCATCCTCAATGGGGCTGAAGTTAGCATAGGACACCGCAATTCCATCCCCGAAGTCAACCTGGATGTTTGTCCTTTGGAGATCACCCTAAAGGAGGCGGGGGCGGGGGGGAGGCAAGGGGGAATAGCAGTTGGCCGGGGCTCATTCACATGGTCCAGTCTGACTCCTATTGGATGCTTTGTCCTGTGCCTTCAGCATCACCCTCTTGGGAACCCAGAGCCTCTCCCAGGGAGCTGAAGCACCCTCCACACAATCATCAGACTCTTATCAGATATCCACTGGGCACTATAGGCAGGTATTATGGACCTGTTATCCCCGCATGCCCAGGGCTTGGGGCAGCCTAAGCTGGTTGAATGGGTGCTAGGGGATAGCGTAAAGCCTCTAGGGAGCTCTGGAGTGGGAAGGCCGATAAATTCCCTGGCTCCCTCACACACTTGGTTGAATTATTCCTCTCCTGTGTCAAAATCCTAACAATAGCAATAATAGTAACAGCTAACACTTATAAAGTTTCTTTCAAGTTCCAAGTAATTAATCTCCTCACAACTTTATAATGCAGAAAGCATTACTTCCAATTTTACAAATGGGGACAAAAAGAAATTAAATAAGTAGACCCAAGTCTCACAGCTAGTAGTGGAAGAGTCAAGTTTTGAACCCAGGCAGTCGGGTTTCAACACTGATGATCTCAACTACATTGCTATAATTATAATTGTTCCTATGTTTTGAGATTTATTATTATGTTCTAAGCATTATGCTAATCACTTAACACATACTCTGTACACTTTCAAAATAACTCTGTGAGGTAGGATGATTATTCCCAGTCTAGACATGAATCCTGCATACCAATCAGAGTTACATCTGTGCTCTGTTGACCTTGGATTTCCCTAAACCTGCCAAAGCCCCTCTTCCCTGAAGCCTTTTCCAACCATCCCAGCTCACAGATATCTCTGCCTCTTGGAAGGCCAAGAGCCCCCTGGGTGCTGCCTGGTGGTGTTGCCTGGTTGTGTAACGGCATGGGTTCAGGTGAGTGCATCTTACCATCCCAAGCTGATGCTAGGCTTCTTAAGAGATGATGCTGAACCCCACCCTTCTTTGTTCTTCTTCCCACTACACTGGGTCAATGACTTTGGATAAATGCAATTGAACCTGACCACAAAACAAGGATCCTGGATGAAAAAAGAAGAAACGGCTCTCTCTATTTACATAGTTGTAAATAAATGGTTGTAGATGGTTGATGGAATAAAAAGGGATATACATCATTTTGGAATCATGAGCCAATCCTTCTGTCCAGTGAACGTGCACTGATCACAGTTTCATGTTCTGCCTCTTCCCCTGTGGCAACCCGGATGTGAGTGAAATATTGATACGTGCTCCCTTGCCCCCCGCACAATGGTGACTACCCCTGAGTTTATGAATATAAATTGAAGTGGAAATGAACTGGAGGCAATTCAAATGGATAAGATCATGGCTCTTCTCATCCATTCAAGAGAAGGTTTTTATAATGCTGGTGCTGGAAACTCCCTAGTGGAAATGTGATAATGACCTCCTCTGAATCTTAAAGTCCTTTAATTCAAGTGCCCAGTGTGGGTGACGGCTGAAGACTCTGTCAACCCAGGATAAGGAAACTTCACTGTCCTGTTCAGTATGGGCCAGACTTTAAAGGTTTCTAAAGTATTCACATTTGGGAAAAAAAACTCCTGGCTTGCTTTGGTCTCTTTCCAAGATCTGAAGAGCACAGAGCAATTTGCATACAAATTTAGAGGGCTTTGTAAATCAGGCAAGCTTTCTTGCCCCACCACCTCAGCAAGGAGTGCCTGAAAAGCTCCCTGGTTTGGGAAAGAGATGAAATAGCTCATATAGGGAGCAAGAAGCATACGACAGAGCTATTTCCATCCTGGAATGAATGAATGCAGGCTGATTTTACTGCCCCGATTGCAAAAGACACAAAAAAGTGAAATAATGGAGCAACTAGCTGATGGAAAAGCAACTAATGTGACATTCTTTATACAAATAAATTTAAAGGATGGCAATAATCTTCCCCCACACTCACACTTATACTTTTAAGACCCTTTGAAAGCCTTGTGGGCTTTTTTAATCAGGGGGGTTTAAGGGTTAGAATAAAGCAAAGGAGGCTCCAGGGAGCAATAGAAAAAAATATGAATTCCCTTCTTCTGGCGAAGTTTAGAGTATATGGTCTTCTGGTGATAAACATTCCTCCAACAAAGCAGACCCTAAAGGGGGACCTCAAAGAATATATCCAGATCTGTATCTGCCCAGAGACAAGTGGGACCCTGCAGCCTGGGTCTGTGATGTGGGATGAAGGGAAGAGGGTCCCAAAATATCTAAGCCTTCTTTTACCCTTTGTGTCTTCTCAGCATTGACTCTGGGACTGGGACCTGTGGGGACACATGATCTTTTTCTTCCCTCTCTAGAAACAGTGAGTTATGACCTCAGAGATCCAGGACAACACATACCTCCTCCATGAGGATGATGAAAGTCGCATTATGCCCCTGCTCTGCCACCAGGCGTCCGTCGGTTGTCACCACATGGAGGCCTCGAGGGGCTTTTCCAGGACACATCTGGGCCTTGGCCGTGTACTTCTCCCTCAGCCCATCCGTGCAGTTGTTGGACACAATCCGCCGGTACCTGAGGAGTATTGACAGTTGTCGGTGGTGTGGGGTGAGTGTGCGTGCGTGTGTGTGTGTGTACACATGCACAGGTTGGAAAAAGAGTGAAAGAAAGCCAGAGGGAGAGATGTTTCACACAGCTGCTCTTAAAAACTGAGTCTCAAAGAATGCAGCCATTTAAGAAGCCAAACAAACGCTGAGGAACTGCTATCCCTCCATCTGAGGAAGAGCAGCTCTTTAAACATTATTATTGATCCTAACTGGTGAGCCACGGATCAGATCAGTGTCTAAACCAGCCAAGAAAAATCAATGTCTGACTCACATGCAAGACGGAAGGAGGCAGAGCCACTGGACTAGTGGAGCAAGAAAAGCAAGTGCTCCTTTCTGTGAGGGAGGGACTTGTTTGTACTTCCCTATGGCCGTCCGTCTCCAGTTCTCTCTGTAGCGAGACGCAGCTAGAAGATTAGACTCCTAACTCTGATTCATCAGGAAGCCTTTTCCTGCCTTCCCTCCACCCCCAGGACGTCAATCCAGCCTTTCCTACCTACTAGTCCTGGCTCTGGAGCCACTGGGCTATTTTATAGCACATTTTCTCTCCTTACTAATATTTCACTTCCCACTCAACACAAATACGAGATCAGAAGCGCACATTTGAAGCTCCTATGCAATCCTGCTGAGGGAAAATTAGCTCAGAAAAAGCATGGGAAACCTCCCCACAAAGCACTGTGGCCTTTTAGGACAAGGGCATCTTTGTGCATAGTGATGCCACGTCATGTCACTTGACCACTGATCTGAGCACAGGAAGCTGAGCCAACAGCTTGTCCACTGTCCTGACCTGTAGGATAGACACTATTTCCACTATCTATAAAGCTGCATACAATCAACCTCCTGGTAAATGCACATAATATAAATGCACCACCACTATCACTATATCACATCTTCTTTTACCCTGTATGTCAGGAGTAATTAACCCAACCATCCATGTTGCCTTCTTCTGATGGCCCTTCAATTGAAAGCAGATGAAACAAAAATCCTTTATGAATGATATTTTTCTTCCACTATACCTGATATTTACCCTGGTCCTTTCTCCATTTCCCACCCCTCAAACCCTGCTGAACTACCAGCCCGACATCTCCATCCAAAGATCTCAGGAGGATGTTAGGCAAATGTTGTGTGTAGTTACTACCTCAGACAGAATTACAACATACCCCCTTGCAGATACATGTTATTTTTAATTGCCAGCTGAGCTCATAATGGGTCTAGAGCTGTTGCTGTCCAATATGCTAACCATTTTTTATCTATGGCTATTGAGCACTTAAAATGTGGTTAGTCTTGTATGTTGAAATGACACTATTTTGGACATATTAGGTTATATAAAATATATTATTAAAATTAACTTTGCCTTTAAATTTTTCTTAATGTAGCTACTAGAAAATTTTAAATTACATATGTGGCTCATATTATATAGTTCTTTTGGTCAGCACTAGTCCACGTAATCAAATTTCTTTTTTGCTGACTTTTAGTCATTTACAAGATATTTAATTTTTACTTATGGCGGATATTTTGGTAGGTACCATATCCTAATGTGAACTGGATATCCTCTACTCTTCCTCTTCAATCTCAACTGGCCAGCTGGTTAACAGTTTGTAATGTAAGCCAACATTTAAGCAACCTAGAGATATATGTAGACATTTGTAGTAAGTCTTTTGAAAAAATACAAACTGTCTTTCCTTTTCATCTCCCTGATTTATTTGGTTGGCTCTTTGGGGTTCTGTTATATCTAAGTTGCTTAAAATTGGGTGTGCCCATAGGAGATGTTGTAATGCAATTCTCTTCCAAGTCTGTCCAAGGTATGCTCTGGCGTGGAATCTGGAGGCTTAGCTGATCACTTGTGCCCATCATATTCCTCTTCCTCAAACTTCATAGCACTATGCTCTCTGATACCATATCTCTTTAAGTTCATGCTGCTGGATCTGTAGTGTGAATGGCTTCAATCCCTGAACCAGACACCTACGATAAAATAACATCAAAAGTACTTAAGCCCCATCTCAAGCCCCAGCAACAGTCCCCTAGAACCAAATATTGAGCTAAAAATCCTTGTTTTCCAGTAGCTCACACAACTCAGCACATCTCTTCCATCACTTTTTTTTTTTTCCCTCTGTAGACATCACTTGGGTTGATGGTACCTACCAGTATTTTATATCCAGAGAAGGTAAAAGTACTGAGATGGCGAGTAACTGGTGTGAAATGGCAGAAGATCCACTGGAAGAGTTGAGACAGGAGTCCAGAACACCTTCATCCTCTGCTACTCAAAGAGTAGTCCTGGGACCAGCAATGACAACATTGCCTGGGGGCTTCTCAGAAATGAAGAACCTCTCAGACCCACCCCAGATCTACCAAATTAGAAGCTACATTTTATTTTAACAAGATTACCAGGTGATTCACAGCACATTAAAATGTGAAAGGTGCTGTCTCAGACCACCAATCCATTTTCCAAATCTCTTCTGGGCCATCGAGGTGGCAAAGGAGAGGGGAAGACAACAAGTCTTTAAGGCAATATTTTATCAAGCACCTGAGTAACTGCATGTGAGCAGAGAGAGAAACACACATATAATCTGACAATTAAAGAAAGTGTAGCTTGACCTTCTCATTCCAGGAAGCCCTAGAATGGGACTTCTGAATTTTCAGTTTCAGTTTCCAGCATCAGTCTAGGAGAGCTTCAGTCCATCCATCCCTGGAGGGCACTGTAACACGTGCATACCATTTGTATTAGTTTATTTTTTCAGGGTCCCCAAAATAAGGTGGCATCTCTTTCCAGAAGATAAGGCCTGACCAAAATAATAGCTATGGTCTGTCAGAGGCAAATGGAAAAGGGTACTGAAATCTAGGAATCACAAATCTCTTCAGATGTTCCCAAAAAAGCTACAGAACTCCTCAGCTTTCCTCAGAAGCCACTTGTAAACAAACTCTCTATGCTCCAGATTGCTTCAACAGAAATGCTACCTTTGATACCAACCTAGGGAAACAGAAGAATAGTGATTAGAGTTTCTTCCGGTGTTTTACTTACCCAGTACTGTTAAGGTAGCTTTGCCCAAGGCTGCAGTCCTTTGATGGGGATGCTGGGTTGTACCAGAAAGCTGGGACACACTGGCTCTCTCCATGTCTCTCATAGCCATAGTCGCTGTTCAGAAAATGAATATTGCACACTGGTATAGATGCACAAATGCTAAAACACACCCCCATACACACAAACACAAATACATCCCTACAGCCTTCCAAAAAGCCGCAATGCATTTTTTCAAATATTCCCAGCAAGAGCAAATATTCGTACTTTGTGAACAGAGTTTTGGATTTAGAAATAATCCCAAATCATTAGAAATCCAGTGTAAAGAAAGAATAGTACATTATCAAATGAAGATTCCAGGTAAAAAAAAAAGGTATGGATGTACATCCTATAGCAGGTACCCTGGCTGGAGGTGGGTGTCAGGATTGCTGGAAGTTTAAAAGCATCCTCTGGATCACAGTGGAATTACTGACAGAAGTAGGTGACAATGACAACCAAGAAGATGATTTTAAAGGTCAAGATTCACTTCTGGGTAAGAGTCCACAGATGTTATTTCAAAATTAATTTCATAGATTTTATTTTAATTTTTCCTATAAATTCTTTCTCAAACAAATATATACATTTGCATTCATATAATACAAACAGCCATTCAAACTGTCCCAAATACATATAACACAGGTCCCCTGTTTCCCTACAACCAACAACACAAAACTGTGGTTCTTTTCCACATTTTCATGAAAGCCTAGCTATGATAAAATAAAGAAATTCAGGTACGATTCCCTTCTCCTTCCCTCCCATTTCAAAATGAAGAAGTAATAGACCAGTGTAGAGAGGAGGGCCTCCATCTGAAATGCAAATGGTGTTTCCTTACTTCTTGGAGTTTCATAAGGCTCCCATAGGCATAAATGTCAGGGTAGAAAAAGAGCAATAAAGTATTATTGCTCTTGAAACCAACCAGAGGTCAGTGAGGGTGGCTTCACTTGGCAGGAGAATTCATGTTTCTAAGTTAAGCATCCTGAAACTCACAGACCAGGAAGAACAATCCGGACATTTGAATATTGATCCATTGAGTGTTAATGAAACATAAAATAGCAAGGAAAGTCACTCTCTCCAGACCTACCCCTCCTTTCTTTTTCTGCTCTCATGTTCTTTGAGCCAAGATTTAATTAAAGCCCAATGAAAATGGAGGCAAATTTTGGTCTATGTGTGTGACTAGGGCAGAAATGGAAGGAAGATAGGAATACAAGTTCAATTCCACGTTTATTTATTACTCAATATGTACTGTACTGTCCTGGGAAAGAAGAGCAACAATCCTTGCCCTCAAGGACTTTTGAGTCTTTGGGGAGAGGGATACAACATGCCTCAAATCCAACCGAAGGAGCATGAAGCAGAACATGATGATACGGTATGAAGTGGTACAGTTAGGAAAGCACCAACTGATTATATAAAATGTCCTCCCAGCATTGCCACACCCTATCACCTCACCATCTTCCTCTACACCAAACTCCTGCCTGACCAGTCCAGACCAACTTTTCAACCCTCTTTGTCTCTGCATGTGTTATTCTCTGGGCTTGAAGCCCTCTACCTCGTCTGTGTCTGATAGTTTGCTAAGTATTCTTCTTCAATATCTAGGTCAGATGACGCCTCCCCTGACTCCCCAGACAAAATCTCTGTGACCACAGCATGTTGGAAACTCTAAATCTATAGAGACCTCTGTTGGTTTTGCTTGCCAATATAAGAGTTCAGACCAGTACTTAGGATGTTGGAGGTACTAAATATTTACTGGGTGAATGAATACTCCATTTATGTTTAAAAATCACACTAATTATCTCATTGCATTGGGTCTATCTGTGCAGGGAGATGTGAGCCCATAGTTGACCTTCCTGTGTGGACCACAGAAAGCATCCCAAGTGCTCCAGATTCCTGAGCTAGGAAGGTGGAGCTCAAGACCAGCCTTGATATATCATGGCCATGTTTATATGAAACTGGAAGAAAAGGAGAAAGGGACATGTCTGTCAAGCAAATTTTTAGCCATGCCTCCTGATCAATGATTGGAGATCTCCCAGCCTGCAAGTTCACTGTGGACTCAGTGTTGTGGCAGCTTGTAACCGCTCGTGAGAATGGACTTAAAATTTCTGGTATTTTGTAAGCTCATTAATGGTTGTTAAACACAGCCATTATCAAAACTTAAGTTATTTCAAATTTTAATGAAATAAATTATACTTGAAAGGTAACAAACACTCAAACACACAGATTCCTCATGATTTTGTTGTATTTATTATTATAAAAATATTATTTTATATGTAAAGCATTAGGTATTATAATTTTACCTACGCTCCTGAGGTTATTTACCTTTATGTACCTGTGTGATAAAAAGACTATATAATATTGTGCTACTGCACATCTCTTCTCAATTCTGTATTCACTGATGTTATGTTGGTAGCTTGAAATTGGCCACATTTGGGGATATTTATAGCAATCAGCAAATGCTACTAATGAGGGCTTATTTATTTGTTCCAAGAGAGCTGGTAGTTAGATATTTACCAGCACAGCACTGAATATCTGATTTCCAAGCATTGCTTACCTGTAGAAACATTTGGGCTGTGGTGTGTCTGCACTGCTTCTGGAAAATTCCCCACCTGCTATATGACTTAAATCTATTGAATGTTCTGCTAACCCTAAGAGATACTAGTAATCTTTGAAGGAAGGGTGCCCTCCTAAACAGCTTACGGAAGGAGAGAAATGTCTTAATGCTCTTTCCTAGATGGAACCATCTTTAGCAGTTCTGTTCAGCTCTGCTACATGTTAGCGATGCAGTAATTAAAAATGGTGCATCAGGCATGCTGTTTTGCCCCAAAGAGAAAAAGCACCTCATTAATATTTAATAACATTAACAGAAACATCACTGGCTGCCCCTAAGCTGTGGACTTCTTCATTAACTTCTGCTAAATGTATATTAAAATCTCATACTGCCCAACCTACCCCCCAGCTCTTGTGTTTGCATAATTTCAACAAACAAGCAGTTCCAGCAGCTGCTCCAACTTCCTGGGGGAAAGGTGTTTTTCTGTTGAATTGTGACATTTGGAGAGAATGTGCCAGAAAGTCTGATTTGCCTCGGGGAAGTATGCTGCCACAGCTTCTGCAAACACACAAGCAGTTTCCTTCCAGAAATAAGTCACCTCTGCATCTTTCTTGACTATAAAAGGGTTTAGAACTTCTAAAACTTTAGGGAGAAACTTGTCCATTTCCAGGAGATGTATGTCCTCCAAATCCCATTCAGGGAGAAGCCTTAGACCATCTCAAGAAGGAATAGACAAACTTTAGAAATCACAAAGTTTCTGCATATCAGAACTGGAAGGGATGCTTGTATTCGTTGGGTCTAATCCTCTTAGTTGGTAGATTGGGAGGGAGAAGCAAAAGAGGAGAAGTGACTTGTTCAAGATTGTACACAGCTGACAATGGCACATGGAGGTGATAATGCAGCATTAGTACAATCTCATGGAGCACCCACTTAATTGTCATAAGGGAGGACCCCCTGGTCCCCAGGAATGACATTCTGAGACTCTTAGAGCCCGCCCAGAAGTCATGGTCTCTGCTGGTGCAGCTGCTGGGGCTTTCCTACTCTCAGGCCACATACAGCCCTATCATTACTTCACGGACCCCCAGTTCCTCCGTTCTCCCATTTGGCAAGCTGAGATTCCAGAAACAGTCCTCCACAGGTGTTTCTGTCCCATTTTAGGAGACAGAATCGCCTGCTGGTTTGGGATTGGACAGATAGAACTTTTTGGCAGGCTCAGAGTGAACACTCAACAAACTGGAGCAACCATAACAAAAACATCAATACAAACAATGGAATAATAATTAACATCGTCAGCATTTCTCTAGGGCATAAGCCTAAATATAGGCATAGAGAAAGATGATTACATTCGAACTATTTCAGAAACTGTTTGAATAAACCAACAAGCATCCCTCAAATATTTCTCCTTATCAAACCCCATGCTAGCCATCTGCCCTCATCCCTCTACTCATCAACAACTCATCCCTCAACTCATCCCTCTACTCCAACAGTCTCATACAACTGCTTTTTTCTGCAGTGCTGCCCTTATTCCTTGTACTCGACAGAAAGTCTACACAGCTCCATCACCACCTCCTACAGGAAGGCTTCCATCATTACTCCTGTCTTCAACACTCTGCTCTGACCGTCTCTGGCACTTACAGGTAGGAACAGTGCTGTCTGAAAGAACCTTCTCTTCTACATCTATGCTATCCAAAATGGTAACCACTAGCCACGTGTGACTACTAAACACCCAAATGTGGCTAGTGCAACTGAAGAACTGAATTTTTAATTTTATTTATTTTTAATGCAAATAACCACATGTGACTGGTGACTATTACATTAGACAGCATAGGTCTGGATTATAGAATTTAGTCCCTAGTAATATTATTATTTGCTGTTACACTTTCATTGAGTTTGAAACTCTGGTTCATACATCTTTGCCTTTTCTACAATGCCAGTCTACAGAAAAAACATACATAATTGTGCTCTATATGCAGGATACTTACCGTTGGATGGATTTCAGACACACCTGAACTTAGTACTATAGCATCCCCCTATCTCTTCCCTCTCTCTTCTGCATTACCACATGATAAACTCAAACTCATTGTGTGGATCTGGAACCATACTGCCCATGGAAGGAAACACTAAAACACACCAAGACCTAGGACTCTGGGTCAGAATATTATTATTTTGAAGGAGTTACTTAACCTTTCTGTGCCTCCATGTCTTCATCTATAAAATGCCTACAATAACATATTCTCCTTCCAGAAGCTGGTTGAGAAGATTAAGTAAGATAATCCATCTAAAGGACTTGGTGCATAGTAGGTATTCAGCAAAAGTTACTGCTGAGTGAGTGGTTGGATGAATAAGAAAATAATTTCTGGTTCAACCTGGTTCTAGCTGAACAAAGGTATTTGCATCTCTCAGATGGCAACTCCTTTCGAGGAGCCTCACATGACTTCAGAGCAAAACACTTTTGCTCCTTTTTCTGACCACCCGCTAGTCCTTGACAAACTTAATTCTCAGGGAGGATTTATTCCTGGCCCTTCACCAGTGCCAC